ATAGATAGATAGATAGATAGATAGATATATAGATAGATAGATAGATAGATAGATAGATAGATAGATAGATAGATAGATAGATAGATAGATAGATAGATAGATAGATAGATAGATAGATAGATAGATAGATAGATAAGTCTTTTAATTTTTAACTAGATTGTTCTGATTTAATTCCTATATATAGGCCTTCAGCTTTGTCAACAGAGACCGAAATAGAGAATGTAGGAGAGAAATATTTGATTTAATTACCAAACATGCACACTCATGCCTACTACATCTCATTATGGACTCCAATATTAATTTATGACAACTCATTAACTTAAGTAAGTTAATTTTCCAACCTGTAGTGCTTGATTTGTTGAAATGTATCCTTCTATACTCCTGCTCCACCACATCCTTCCATTCAAAACGAGTCATCTGCCCCCAGTTCTCTGCCTGTATATCACTTTTGCTGCTCTACATTCCGGTATCCTTTCAAGATGTCCTGCCCAGCGCAGCCGTCCTATTTTTTCGTTGTTTCGACATTGGTTAGGTCTTTGTACTATTGGTATCCCTCTTGGTTTGTGCGTATTCTCCTGGCATCATTCCCTATCAGTGGGCCATACATTTTTCTGAGGATTTTCCTTCCCCGTGTATTGAGAAGGTTCTCTGCTTTTCTGGTGAGGGTTCAAACCTCACTAGCGTAAGTTTCTACCGGTCTTATAATAATTGACATTATGACATGAAAGTTTGATACACAGAAAAAATGCCTCAAGAAGCAGAATTGAAAGTCCCATCTTCTTTAACAAGAAGGCATCACGATAAAGAAAATGGAACGCCTCTCAAATTTTCTTCTCATCCTTGATCCAAGGGCCACGCTGTTAGATCACTGGATTTCAAAGGGCGACGCTGTTAGATCACTGGATATCAAAGGGCCACGCTGTTAGATCACTGGATTTCAAAGGGCCACGCTGTTAGATCACTGGATATCAAAGGGCCATACTGTTAGATCACTGGATTTCAAAAAGCCACGCTGTTAGATCACTGGATATCAAAGGGCCATGCTGTTAGATCACTGGATTTCAAAGGGCCACGCTGTTAGATCACTGGATATCAAAGGGCCATGCTGTTAGATCACTGGATTTTAAAGGGCCACGCTGTTAGATCACTGGATATCAAAGAGCAATGCTGTTAGATCACTTGATATCCAGAGTTACTTCGAAATAAATACAGTTTTAGTATAAAATAAAATAAACACACACATTTTAAAAGAAAACGGTCGCTATTATTATTTACTTTTCTTTCTATACATATAGGATATATCATTATTTACTTTTCTTTCTATACATATAGGATATATCATTATTTACTTTTCTTTCTATACATATAGGATATATCATTATTTACTTTTCTTTCTATACATATAGGATATATCATTATTTACTTTTCTTTCTATACATATAGGATATATCATTATTTACTTTTCTTTCTATACATATAGGATACAACAACGAGTTTGACAAGCCCATCACTTTCAACTGTCCTGGCGATAAGGTGATGACCGGCGTCAAAAGTAACCATAGCAACTACTATGAGGACCGCAGGTTTAGCTTTCAGTGCTTCGGCGTCCAGATCACTGGATATCAAAGGGCCACGCTGTTAGATCACTGGATATCAAAAGGTCATGCTGTTAGATCACTGGATATCAAAGGGCCACGCTATTAGATCACTGGATATCTTCTTCTTCTTCTTCTTCTTCTTCTTATATTTGAGGGGCCCACGATCATTTGTTGATCATTCTGGCTCCTGGTTTTAATTCAGAGTTTGCCTTCTCTTAGATGGGTTGCCGTCCAAGGCTAACGAGTCCCATTCACCCGGGATTGTCTCTGTCTTACGATTTACTGTTAAATATTGAGATATTGCATAACGCACAATATGTTCAACAAATGTTATTGTTCAATTAGAATTTGTCTAATAAATGGAGTTTAAAACCAAGAGGTTTATGGATATTATTTTTGAACAATTTTTTTTATGCTTTAAATGCTTTTTATAATTTATGTCTGGTGATTCTTGACAAGTCAAATAATATTTCTTAGAGAAAAGAAATTAAACATCCCCTAAAATCAAAATGTTTCCTAAATTTTTTTTATAAAATGTAATAGCGAGCAATTGGGGGGGGGGGGGGGAGGGGGCTGATCATTTGACAAATCCTTCACACAAGTAACGCACTTTATAAGAATCACAATTAGTAGTAGCCCCCACCCCCACCCTTTCCCAATGCTCACATCGCACATTTCGTTCCCGTCACTGAAAAATATTAATATTCTAATGACCCACTCGTCTTTTACGCGGGAGATTTCTTTCACCAAAAATTTTATTTTTAAAGAAAAGAAGAAAATATTAGCACCAAACGCACTTGCGATGTGTATATATATATATATATATATATATATATTAAAATCTCATTTAGACAGTTATCGGGTATATCATTTTATCTTCCCGTTCAAAGATCTGATTTGTTGAGTTTGGGGCTTAAAATTTGTCAGAGTGTGTTGATTTCAGCAATAAGCCTATGTGCCAAGTTTCAGCTCGATAGATTGACAGGAAGTGGGTCAGTCTACCAACCAATCAGCAATACACGAACATAAGCGAAGTTAATATCAAGGATTTGAAAAAATAAAAATAATTTGATTATTAACAAAAAATAATTTTAAAAAATTAGCAGGTTTTTATAATCTAATAAGATGAGAAAATAGGTTATGTCTTGGTTGGGATTAAAGATAAGAAAACGTTAAATTGTCTTTTTTTTAAACATTAAAAAAAAACTGTTAAATTATACTGTAGCAATGCATGAGTTACATATTAACAGTATGTCTATACATTCAATGAAATTATTCGAGTCTAGCATTTTGACCGAATTTAATCCCTTTAGAGATGTTCAATTAAAAATGTAGCACCATATATACGCATATACACACAAGACTTAATGAAGACTGAATTGAAATGAATACCTCCATCAATAAATGGATATCTGCCTTTGATATATGTATATATATGCATTATAATTTCTTGTTGTCTTTTATTTCCTTGTGTTACGTACAAATACTTAGCTCAACATAACATTTAGAATATATCAGACTTTTAACGTCCAAGTAAATGATATTTCCAAAATTTGTATTAAAAAATCAAGATTATAAGTAACTAAACGAATCGTTTGAAGAAGAAAATTTTCTAGCAACACAGCTACACAATAGATATAAATCGCTGATTAAATTTTAATAATCTTATGAATGAAATATGGCACGAAAAAAAAAGAGATGTCTCTTTCAAAATAGTAACTATGATAAATATTGTTAAATAGCTGTTAGCTTTGTAAACTCTTTAAATGGTTTAGCTTTATAAACGAAGGGATTTATCAAAATGACATGTGTTTCACTACTTCTTCTTAGTAGCAGAACTCAAAAACATTTGGTCAAAATTCTCTTTGAATTTCGATGACATGGAGTAGTAGATGAAGATGTTGACCCCGGCATTGACGTTCTGAAGCTGGTAGTCGATGGCGTAGATGAGGTTGTACATGTTGTGGTAGCGTTTGAACAGGTTCAGCTCGAGCACGAACAGCCTGCTGACGTAGGTCAGCACCATTTCTGGGATGGAGCAAAGAATGAAAACGATGGCAATCGAAGACACCATTTTGACAACTCTTTTCTGCGAGCTGGGGCGACTCTGTTTCTTGTTTTTGTCAGTAGTTAGAGTGCTCTGCACGTGCTGCGCCACTTCAACTTTTTTGCTTGTTGCAGCATTTGTTGTTGCTTTTCTAAAGGACATCGAGGTTTGTAAACTTCTCACCATGACAGCGGTAGAAACGGTGATAATAATTATAGCGATTGATGGGAAGATAATCCCGTTCATTAAACCGCTGATGGCCTCCCTTTCGACACGATCTTCCGTTATCCACATGACCAACCGGGAACGGTTGTAAGTCGGGGCGAAGACCCAATGCAGCCCGTGGCTGGCGTAGATTTGGGCGTAGCAGCAGGTCATAGAAATAAATACAAAAATATTCACAAAGCCAGCTCGCTTCGCGGTGAAAATCAGCTTGACTTTCAGTGGAATAAAAACACAGAGAAATCGTTCGACACATATGACGACGGTTATCCATGTGGATATTCTAAGAAAAAGAGCGTGGGGCCATCCACCAAAAACAGCGCTGACGCTTATGTAGTCCACTGAAGGATTGGGTGACAGGTAGCTCAAGCCGTACAGGACAGCTATTAGAATTATGGTCAACAGGCTCCAAAGATCGGCCAGAGCCAGGCCGAAAAGACTGATGGTGACGCTGTCTTTGAGACCTTGTCTTATAAACACCATGATGCTGATGGTGTTGGTGATGGTACCGAATACCCCAAGGCCCAAACTCGTCGCCGCACTGACGATGAAGATGTAGACACCTGCCTGGGTGCTGATGACATCTTCAAGCACCTTCACTTTCTCGCTAGGCGCAGTAGTGTTGGAGTGCTGATCAGTGTAAGTCGTTACTCCTCTGTTGCTGGAAATCTCCGCCATGATTTTGCAAAAATGAAATTTGAACAAACTTTTTAAAAAAATCTCTCTATTGTACGAATAAATATTTATTGCCTGTAAGATGTTTCGGGTATCTTCAATGTCTCCCGTAGCAATGGCAGTCGATGTGTCCCGTAGCAATGGCAGTCGATGTGTCCCGTAGCAATGACAGTCGATGTGTCCCGTAGCAATGACAGTCGATGTGTCCCTTCGCTGTGGCAATACTTTAAAATATGTTTGTCTACACGTGCATGTTGCAATGATCAAAATATTTTTATTAGATTCCATATAAAATGCTGTTTGAAAACAAACTATTATATTTAGGAATGTGGGTAAGTATAGCCGCGCGATACCTTTTAAGTTTTCTATTCAAGGTTGGGTAAGTGAATCATGTTCAAGTGTATGCTAACAGATAATTGAAGTGTCAACAACTCCTACCATAAGCTAATGCTTGTTTTGCAATTTCACTTGGCACCAGGTCTGCAATTATCTACTTATTAAAAAAAAAATGTTATTAAATCGGAGAAAATTAGAAAATGGATTTCTTTTGTGCACTCTCCATCCTTGTTTTCATAAATTGACAAAGTATTTCATTAAAAAGAAATTCCCAAAACGGTAACGATTCTCTAGTTCAATCTGGTTAACATTGGAACAATTTAGAATATCGCTTGGATCACTAGTGACTAAACGTTGGCTATGGTGATCCTAGGTCCCAACCTTGGGGTTAGTAATTATAATTTGTTGAATCATTTTTGTGTGTGCAGTCAAAAGATTAGCTTTGCAACAGTTAATCTATTATTTATGTACACGAGTATATAGTTGGATCAAATTTGAGATGTCGAAAATACAACTTCCGGGTCGATGTTAAGCCTCATTAAAATAATTTATGTATGGTCTCTGTTGTCAGTTTAATCGTACAATAGTCATTATACAGGGTTGAACAGGGATGAACTGGGATGAACAGGGAAGAGCCGGGGAATATTAACTTCTTGGTAATACAAACTTAAGGAACGTGCGAGATTTTATTAAATGTGTTTAAACATCAATTTGATATATATACATGCTCGAAACGAAGCCCTTGCAACAAAAAGAACAATATGGAAGGCCAAACCTAACCAGGAGTCAAGATTCTCCTGCGCGAGAAATGCAGTCGAGATTGCCATTCCAGGACCAGCCTAGTGAGCCATTACTTGAAGTGTCCATAGCTACTCCATCGTCTCGCGAAGACGGAAGGATGCCAAATATATATATATATATATATTACAACTTTTGTGTTTTATGTCTGGCCGCATTTTATTAAAAAAAATGAATTTGATAAACTTATGAAAGATGGTAATTTGAAATGTAGCTGCAACACAAGTTGTTTTTGTTCCACCTTTAATTTTATGTCTTCTAACAACTCGTGTATATCTTTTTAATCATGATCTTATTTTGTAGTATACACATAATTTATGTATTTTGATTAATTTGTATACTTAAATCTCTTCTGTATATATTTTGCTTGTGGTGTGACTGCTTCCATTTCCGGATAGCGTGCAAAATATAATTTCCGATAACTGCGCTAAATTATTTTTTTTTTTTAAATAACGCAATTGCATTTGGTGCGTAACATTTTCTTTTTCTTTTCGGAAAATAAAATCGTCTCAATTTAAATATAGTGTAATAAATATTCGGTGTAAAAGTGATTGGCACATCTGAATATCAATGTAGTTCATGGGCGGGAAATAAAAAGTCTGCAGTGATGTATCAATGAGGGAAGGGGTGTAGCAAAAGATGGGATTCTTAAATGCCCGTTACTTGAGTTCATGTTTTGTCAAATAACTTTAGTAGAAGTAGAAGTTCACAAATTACTGCCGCCAATTTTTGGTGGGCTATTACTAGCTTATCTTTTTTTAGTCACGGCTTGACATTTCAATGTTGAGATAACCTTTGAACAATCAGACCTTTAGCGTCCAAAAACTGGTTTTCAGATGACAAGCCATTTTAAGAACGTGCGTTCTAGAGTATTGATCGAAACTTTCCGGTGAAGCGAAATAAATTAAAATTATTGCAGCACAAATTGGGAATGTTAGAAAGTGCGGTACTAGAAAGCACGTAACATTTTAAGGTACAACGTCATATGTTTGCGCTAGATACAAGTTTGAGATTTACTGTAAAAGTGCACTGGGTATGCCTTACATATACATATTTATATTTTATATTTGTGGTGCCTACGTTCAATTTGTTGATCATTGTGGCTCCTGGTTTGAATTCAGAGTTTGCCTACTCTTAGATGGGACGCTGTCCAAGGCTAATGAGCTCCGTCTAACCGGGGTGCATGGAATGTCGGCTTTGGTAGGGAATGAACTTCAGACCACCAGCTAGAATTGGTTCAGTTATACTGTCCGGCCGCTCGGCCACCCATCACCATGTGAAAGTGCATATCACAAAGACCATCAGGTAGTTTAGAAAACCATGCAGTAGTCATTGCGACGTGTACCGGGTGGTGAAATGACTTTGGTGGGTATAAGGTTTGAGGGCACAACTCTCGTATGAGTTTCACACTTGCTCGTGTCTAGGGATTTTATTTTATAACAAATTCACGCACTTAGGGACATAATTAACATGCTCATTTGTACAAATAATTCATAAAAGAAACGAATTTATTTATTTACAAGGATGCCGATTTCATCTGTTTGAGCTATGGATGTGGAAGTGGAGGCGTTCTAAGACGGTCATCGAAAGATGTAGAAATTTGAAGGAACAGCTTGATGTCATCCCAACTGGGAACTAAGTAATTGACACCGCCTTCAAGTGATTGACACGGCCTCCAAGTGATTGACACGGCCTCCAAGTGATTGACACGGCCTCCAAGTGATTGACACGGCCTCCAAGTGATTGACACGGCCTCCAAGTGATTGACACGGCCTCCAAGTGATTGACACAGCCTCCAAGTGATTGACACGGCCTCCAAGTGATTGACACAGCCTCCAAGTGATTGACACGGCCTCCAAGTGATTGACACAGCCTCCAAGTGATTGATACGCCCTACAACTCATTGACACGGCCGCCAAGTGATTGACACGGCCTCCAAGCGATTGACACGGCCTCTAGGTACCCAATACAATCGTTCTCTTTTTATTCTCCTGTCTTTATATTTCAGCGTTCACATATCGCATTCCACTATGTCCTTCCCACAGCTTTGACGCAGTCCTTCATTTATTATTCATAGTGAGCATGGAACGAGCAACAATGGAGGACATTTTTCTCAGAGTTAGAAAATCTATTACTCATTACAATTTGGAATGGACAAAAATAAATTAAATTGTGCCATAAAATATCAAAACGTGCTATAAGGGGGAATGCTATTTGGGAAAACTTATAAGGCCGTTTCAAATGTTGGCTGTTCAATATGTTGGCTGTTCAAAATGTTAGCTGCTCTAATTATATGGTTCTTCATTGCAGTATACATCAAAAGGCAAGATGCGAAGTAACTTATTTTTTTTGTAACTGGGTGGCTGGCTGTCAAAATTTTCGGACGGCTAATTGACCCACCTTCTGTCAACCAAAGGAAATATGATGACATTGATTTCACGAAATAAAATTTCTGGTAACTGCGCTAAATGAGATTTGCAATAATATCGCAATTGCGTTTGTGCGTAATATTTTCTTTTGTTTTTCTGAAAGAGTTGTTGAAATAACTCTGAGATGGTAAGGCGAGTGGGACATTAGAATATATATATAACAACAAATGCCTAAATACGATTTAAACGAAAAACATTGTGTTTAAAAGACAATAACTATATGATTTGATCCTTTTAAAACATATTTTGAAGTTAACCTTCCCGTGGACGCGCTCTTTTCGCAAGGAGCCCGGGCGCGGTGCATTCATTTGACAGCCCTAATGAGTGACTGATTAAATTAGTTATTTTAATGAAATTTTGTCAATAATTATTTTGTTAAAGTAATTAAACTAGCATACAATAAAATTCATCCCCAATATGTCTTTTTCTTTTAATTTCCTCTATACACTTGAGATTCTCAAAATCAAAACTTTTTTTTCTACCACACCCGCTATCTTAGACGGCAGAAGTTGCATGACGTCTATAAGGATCTTTACAGATATCTCACTCTGGCGTTATATTTTCTGATTTTTACTATTTAATAGTAAGATAATGTCTCAGTAAGTATACTAATATGAAAAAGTAACTTCCCAGAGCAGAAAAAAAATAAATTAATAATGGAATTGTCAAATTTAAAAAAAAAACTAACATGTAAAGGCGCGGTGTATCAATTTGAAGAAAAAAAACCCAGCCACACTCTACACTCTAAAAGCGTTCTCTACACACTAAACGGCCCTGGAATATAAAAGAAAGGAAAACATTAAGTCACTGATACGCAGAACTCGCTGTCATCTCTTATTGACGTATGCCAAACAAAAACAGTTGGCTTGTATCAATCTGATCAAGCTCGCCCTACGGAAGGTTAAAAAGCAGTTGACCAGTCTGTTCAATTCAATGAAGCCTTCAGTGCATATCATAGTCCACGATTACTCCCGTTCAATAACACCAAGAACGTGATCACGCTCCAGATTTCTTAACATAGAGGAGAGTCGGGAGGAATGGATAGGTGGGAGAAATGGACCACCCCCTATAAAATCGAATCTATTGCAACCAAAATGTTTTCAAACTAAATGAATGCATAAAATACTTAATTTTTTGTGATTTTTAAGAGTTTCCAGGTTAGGGGGAGTTGGGGCACAGTGGATCAAGGGGCACAGTGAATCAGTGGTATTTTCTACCAAATCACCGGGAGATTTCTGTTGCTGATCATCATTATTTGCGTATTTACATATCTTCTTCTTCTTCTATATCTTAAGGGCCCACGATCAATTTATTGATCATTTTGGCTCCTATGCATGTAGATGGGATTTGCAATGTTTCTTTTACTGGTGGTGATGAGGAAATTATGCACTAGGGGTTTGAAGGCTTGAGGCAATAGACACAAATGTGTCTAGTGTTGTCGCCTCAACTGTTCCTTTTGAAAGATGGTTCCAGTCCCTGATTGTCTTGGGCAGGAATGAGCAGCTCCTATACCGGCTTCTTGCTGGTATGAGCCTGAATTGCCTGTCATGGCCTCGTCGCTGTCTATGGGGGAGAGGGACGAGTTTCTGTTTAATACTGAAACAGTGGACCAGCCCATTATTTATCGTGTACATCATGGAGAGCCTGGATTGTCGTCGTCGTTTCTCCAATGGTGACCAGCCTAGTGTTTCTAGCATGCTGCCAACACTAGAGGTATTCCTGTAGCGGTTTAGGACAAAGCGAGCTGCT